GATCATCGTAAGGTTTTACTGAGAAGCGGAATGAATGAAAAGAAAGTTCTATTGATCGATGCTTTGTTAAAAACGAAGCCAAACGAAGATTATCCGAGAATATCGGTATTTTGGCGTCCAGATGATGTGGGTGCATTTGATAAATTGGAAAAACTTGTGAGGGGCCGTCATTTTATTCGCGACTCGATACTTAAACACACAACTTATGCGCACATTCAACCGGACGATTTCGGCTTTCCATTATCAGTCGAGGCACAGCTACATGTCAAAAGTATGGTAGAGCAGCAGGTTGATAACATTTCTGCGAAGCTTCGCAACGTCACTGATCACCTGCAAGAAGCTTTTGATAAAAGAATCGAATCAGAGGGAAGCTTCCGGAACATATTCGATCGGATTGAACTGGGACTATTTCGACTGCAATACCCACGAAGAAGTGAGTCGGTTTCGCTTCGAAATTTAACTGATCGATTTCGGGGAATTATTGAAGGATCTAGTTTGCAATCGATCGATGTTGCGGAACTCACACGAATTAAACGAGACGAGAACAATTTGAATACGTTGGAATCCATTTTGAAGGGTGCGGCAGTGAATAGTAGTGAAGCATTAGAGGAGAATCACTCGGTGAAGATCGATTACAGATCGTTTTTGGATAAGATCAACAACTTCTTCAGTGAACGCGAATCCGAAATAAAAGGTGATCTTATGAACGAGGCGCAACAGATAATCAAAAATGTCACCGAAGACCTGAAGAACATTGACACAGGTTTATTAACAGAAATAAACGGACGTTTGGAACAAACGCGAGGATTTCATGATAAATTACGATTGCTTCAGCTAGGAATAAAGTCGATTGCATCGAGTACGATGAGGACATTGAAACAAAGAATGAAGCAGTTCTCCGATTTGATTCGCGTACTCAACATAACGGCAGTTAGTGCAAATGACCTAAATCGAATCGAACAACATATATTGCACTTAACAGCGTTGGAATCAGTGTCAAAAAAAGAAATCATTGTGCCAGTTCGTGATTGGATTGCAAATTCATCGAACACAATTAACTGTTTATCGACGGAATATGCTTGGTATTCATTTTTGTCACAAGTTTATGGTTTCTTGGCGAGTTATGACGTGCAAAAAAATGTCAACGCCTACAATGTGGCCGATTTATCGGATTGGGGAAGGCCGAATAGGCTACAAGGCCTTTTGGCTACATCTGACAATTTTAACGAATTGTGTAGACTGCTTAAAAGTACATTGCAGTTTGAATCAACACCATTGCGATTGAATGATCTCAATCAAATCATAAAGACTACCATAAAATCACCACCGAATCACAACTGCACTGATGAAGTGATGACGATTGAAGGAAATTTGGTGAGAAGTTCAGATATCCAATTGTCGAAATGTCCATCGATAAAGACTTTGAAGCGATTGAATGTGTTCGTCGTCGACCGGTTCTATGTTGATAGCGATTTGAATTTAAATGGATTTGAAAATGTAGAGCTGTACATTTTAGCGAACAGATGGACAATCGTACAGCCGGCCATATTCCATTTGAATGGATTCAATGGAACGTCACACACAACGCCACCGATGACGAATGGAACGGCAGGGAAGCCAGGCGGCCCGGGAATGAACTCGGGTAACTTTTTCGGTATGGCGAATAAAGTGGAAAATGGTGGTTCATTGACAGTGGAGCTAATTGGTGGTGACGGTGGAAACGGACAAGACGGAACCGGCAACGAAGACGTTGAACTTGTAGTAGAAATAGAAAAAGAAGAAAAAGAATATTCAAAATTTCTCGAACGTTATCCAGAAGATAGTTTGAACATCTATTTCAGGATCAAAAGTGAAAATTATACTCAAGAGTTTCACCGATTGAATAAAACAAATGTGGAATTGATAATGGATACTAAAACATATCTGACTTCGATGCTATCACATCTGGTTGGTAAGGAGATTTATGGAACATTTGAAATGTCTATTGGACATTGTTGTGGTGTGACTGGCACTGGAGGTCCTGGTAGGTTGAAGAAAGTCAATAAAACTACTTTGATGTTCGAAAGTCAATTAAATTGTTCTTCTTATCATTTCACAGGTGGCATGGGCGGTGAGTCTGGTTACTATGAATTCATTCAAACCGGGAACAGTGCGATTAATCTTCCTAAAAGGATACAAAGGAAGGGGACAAATGGAAGAATGGGACGAAATGGTAGAGTGTGTAAAACTATGGGTGCTATGGCCCATTTTTCGAGCACATTTAATGGATTCAAAGAAAATGGAGAACCCAAACTTACAATTGGAAAAAATTCCTTGAAAATCGTCGAAGATCACCACTGCCCCGATGAATATGTTAGCAACCAAGAAGTAATCTCAAATCTGCCCAGAGATTCGTATGTGGCAGGAACTATAATCGAATACAAACGATTTCTGCGTGCAAATATGGCGAATCCAATGCTTTTCCAAATCATACAAAACACATACGATGTAATATAGTCAAGTAGTCTAGTGAAATGTGTTGCTAAATTTGATTTTGTTCGAGCGATTTGGTTAAATTTCATGTATTTATACATTTTAATTGCAAATTATTTATTGGCCAACTGATAAAATCCTATGTTCAAATTGAGCTTTGAAACTTTTTTTTGGAATAAAGCTTAAGCACTTTCTGTACTGTTTTGATATGACCAAATTTGCAAAAAAAAACCGCACAATCAAATCAAAAATGCTCTCGGTTTGAGTTTAAATAAAGAAGAAGAGGAAATAGAAGAGTTATAAGAATGACAACATCAGTTTCGATCGTTTTCGATGGTTCTGTCGACACTTCGTAATTCTCTTTTCACGCTGTCTGTTTTGCTTAAATCCTCTGCGGAATCATTTATATTTAAAAAAAAAACGAAAGAAATGAAGCGCAATTTAACATTAAATACCGAGAATTCTCTGCGCTTCTTATCGTAGGGAATGTTATATTGTATTTTTTCGACTGTATCAATCGATCCTTTTGACATATTTTTTTCCGTACAAGTATTTCCACCCTCGTGTTTCCGGATATGAATCAAGGTATAAATACTCAAGCATAGTGTGTCATGATCCCTTTAAATCGACTTCATTACGTTGCTGACAGTTGATGGCGATAGTTGAACTCCGAAAATCGTCTCTAGCCGTGTTGAATCAGGCAGTCACGGCAAGTAATGAAAGTAAATATGGTAATAATTTTGCATTCAATACCATTTTTTTCTCTTCTTTGTTATTTGTTGTCACTTGGTGACAAGTGGCAAATTTACTCGCGATTCATGCTACGTGTTCTGTCTTGGCCCCCATCCTTTGTCAATCAAAATGCCGTTCGGAAGGGAGAAAAAAAGCATATGCACACCATATATGTTTTTTTCCATCGTATATGTACCGAAATACTGAATGCATCAATCAAAGCTGATTGGCTGCCAGCAGCCGACTGTGTCAACAAATAATTTTTGCATCTTCAATCAAAGCAAATATTTACTCGCCACTTCAAATCGGCACGTCGATTCAATCTTTGATTCTGCTCGACACTCTATCTCGTCTCGAATCCAAAAAACAGAAAAAAAAAGCATTGGCAGCTCAATGGTAACCCTACAAATGCCAACTTTTAATACTCCGAACGCCGCTCGTTTCCTTTTTGCACACACACTTTTTTTTCTTAATCATTTTCCCATTTCGCTCGCTATTTTCGGGCGGATTAAACGATTTGTGCAATATTTATTTTTCTTCATCGCAATTCAATGATGTGCTTGAGATTGTAAACAGACACACAGCGTCTGTCTTATATTTGCACATGCATCACGTTCGCACTACTTTTAAGCACAGCTCGTCTTGGTTTCTTTTTTTTTCGAACAAGTTTCAGCGTGAAAAAATGGCAAAAATTATTTAGATGCCGATGGAGGAAAAACCGATCCGATGCATAAAGACCGAAGTCACTAATGGGCTTTAAACGCTTGTTGTTTTTCTAATTGATGCATAGAGAGGAAATCTTTTTAGACAGTCTCTTCTTACTGATAGTACGATTTTGGTTATAGTCGGTCCAATTTGTTTGTTCAATTTGATTGAATTCAATTTTCGCATTAGAAGCGAAAGTGATCAAGTAATTCTCATTTGGATTTTAATTTTCTGGTTAGAATATAGGGAATATTGTCTATACTCTATATATAACATTTATGTGTTCGGTTGAATGCCATTTTTGATGAAGCAGACTTGCAGGCGATTTTCGCTTATGCTTTTCATTCGATGCTACTTCACTGCGATGGCGCTGCTTGATCAATATAACACGAAAATTGTCGCAATGTTTTAGTTACTTTGATCAGCAACTGAAATTTCATTTTTATATAATCAATCCATTGCGTTTTCGAATCCGCTGAGTGGTCTCAAGCCCTTCTAGAGGTTTTGTCATTTTTTTTTGGACAACAGTTCAATTACCCAAAAAAGAATTGTATACTTACATTGTTTTTCGATAAATATACTTACATTTCTCATATTGTAATCGAACGAAAACCTCATTTGCAACCAACATGGCCTATTGGCAAATATATTTCGAATATTCGAATTTCAGTAGTTGAAAATGTATACAGTTTGATAAAATTTTGGCCAAGAATGTTGATGATACCAACTTAGTGTATATATTTTAGAGTTCATCGTTGCGTTCCGATAAGTTAAAGCCAAGATTTCGAAATCTTGATGAAGATCAAAGATTTTTTCTTTTTTTATAAGCTGCAATGTCAATCTCTCCATCGTTTACTCGAAAAGCATGTGATAAAGAGCAGAAATCAAACCCCTTACCTTTCAAGGTATAAAAGTCATTGACAATGACTCATTATGAACATTTGTTGAACAAAGAGGCCACAAATTATTGGCCACGATACTCATTGATACCCAAATTTCAACGATATTTCATTGTCACCCGCATCAATATTGAAAGATCTGCTTTTCCGCTAAAATTAGAACATGCAATAAACAAAGAAAAAAGTAAAAAATTTCCTTAAAAGCAATACGATTCACTCCACCGTCTCAATTTATTAACATAATAAAGAGGAAGTTGTGCGGTGCCAACTGTATGGTCCGTCAACTTGCATACAGTTTGTGATCGAAATGTTTTTCGTTTTACTTAAATTTAAAGAAGAAGAAGAAAAAACGTGTCAAATTTGACGCATTCAATTGAGGCATCTGTCAAATTGGTGTTTATAGAATTTGGTGTCTTCAATCAAAATGTCGAATTTCTCTCTTAATCATCAATGTTGCAAATATTCTGATGGAAATTGAATTTTGAAAATGTGGAATTCATACACGAACAAAAAGAAGGACCTAAATGCAATTTTCTGGAGTTTTCTTATCTATCTCTTACTAACTGTGAAATGAATCGATTGTAATTAAAAACCTAAGACGTCATTATGTTTAGTTTCTCAAAGTCGGCTTCAATTTAAAGGAAATAAAATTATTTTAATTAGGTGAAAAAGACACGTACATTTATCGCTATTTCTAAAGAGACATCAAAAATTCAAATGATTACAAAAAATCAATTTGGATCGATTCGATAGAAGAATATTTTTAAAACTGTGGCGGTTTTTAAGTTGGATGTGTGTGTGGCCAGCCATCGCAAATGCATCGTTGCCATTCGAAAAGTCGCAGAGATTGAGAGTGAAAAAAGAAAATTAAAATTTCTTACACAACTATTTTGTTCTGTCCATATTATCTCAATTAGCTTATCGTATGTGAAATGGATTTATTACTGCATTTTTTCTGATTCTTTTTTTTTTTAGTAAAGTGCGCGATTTGTTTGTCGTAGATCGATCGTTTTAATTTTACGTGTATCATCGCCGTTCACAATGGACGTTGTTTCGCCGAGTACATGCATCGTATTGGAATAATCGGAATCAATTTGTGGTATGACCTTTTTTTCGGCCGGACGCAGTGTGTTCAATAGATCGGTAAGATAGAGGAAGCTTTGTGGTCCATGATTATCAGCAGCAGATGCACCACCACCGCCGCCATTATTATCGTTGCCATTGACATTTCGGTATTTTTCAAGTTCTTCGGAAATTCGTTTCAATCGTTGTTCAACCGACGTAGTCTCTTCAATTTTCTCCGAAATTTCTTCCATATCAAGGGCGGCAGCGGCCTCATTATCATCATTCGTTGTGATCGATTCAACATGATTGGGTTCATCGTCATTGACTTTGGTGCTCTCTTCCGATGCCATGACTTTGGTGCTATCCTCATCCTTTTGTTCATTGTCGTCCATCAATGCTGGCTCTTGATCATTGATATTACTGTTCGATGCATGGCTACTCGTTTCCATTGTGACACGTAACGTGGCCAATGGTATGGCCACGTTTAATTTACGATCCGATATCGATTTTGCGGCATGCAAACTGGGCACTGGCGTTGTCACATGTGATACCGTTGTTATTGGATGCGATTTTGGTGTGGTCGATGCATACACATACGAATCTGATGAATATGACGAGGCTGGCGTTGTCGATATTAATGGCCGTCTAATCAAAAGAGAAGAAAAAAAAAACAAAAATAAAGAAACTTTTTTCACCATAATTTTTTTTCTTTTCAAAATTGCTTTACTCTATGGGTTTTTGTTTTATTGCTAGTGTGTAGTATTTTGCCCACGGCTCTGACTAAAATGAAACAAAAAATGTGTTGCAAATAACAAACCAAATGACACCCATAGAACAAAATAACAACTTATGAGCTCTTTATCCATAACTGAGACGGAAGAAAACTTAGAGCAAAAAAGAGACAAATAAAGTTGCGAGCATAAGTGACACAACCCCAGCATTGATCGGAAAAGACATTTTTTGCATTTTTCTCGCTACTGGAAAGAGATAGCGACTAGGTGTCTTCAGATTATTTGTATTTTTTTTTATTTTCTACAATAATGCCGAAGACACCTAATCTGTGTTTCTTTCTAGTAGCGAAAAAAATGCAAAAGACTTCCGCTCAATGCTGAGTTGTGTCCATTTTGCTCACAACTATATTTATCTCTTTTTTGCTCTAGGTTTTTTCCCGTCTCAGCTACGGATTAAGAGCCCATAAGTTGTTCTTTTGTTCTATGAATGTCAAATGTATGTGGAACACAACGAAAAAAAAATGAACGAAAAATAAATGGTTAAAAAAAGAAATCGAGAGCGAAATTCGCTACTTTAGTTGTTTGTTTTTTTTTACGGTCGATTAGATTTGAAATGTAGCCGAAAATGTGTGGAAAGGATTTGCAGCGAATTGGTGTGCAAAAACCAAAAAAAAAGTAGAAAATATTAAACCAAAATGAAAATGAAAAGCAAAACGTTCCGACTGTTTTGCGTCGGATGAGTTTTGGAACAACAACAACAACAACAACAATGGAAACAAAAATGTATGGAAAAATAAAATGGGTAAACTAGTAATAACCGTTAAAGTAACTAACCCCATGCCACCAGTAATCTAGTCGATTGTTTTTGTTTTTTTTTTCGATTGTTAGTACGATATAAAAAAGAAAGAAAAAAAAAACAAGAGAAAAAATGTGTATGATGTGTCTACGAGAGTCGGTTTTCCTCGAATCCGTGGCAAAAAATAGCGAATTTCCATGTAGAATAAAATTTCAATTTTTGGTTAATTGGAAACGAGTAAAAAAAGCATTACAAATTAAAACAAGAAAAGAGTCGATACTTGAGCTGTACTTTATGTGTGTGTGGGTGTATGTGTATTGTTTTTTTCTGTTTGTTTTAAATTAAGAAAATAATTTAAAATGTGGTGGAAAAGGGTTAGCTCACCTAAATTGGTTATTGAGAAATTTATTGGGTTGAATGTTATGCTGCATGTTCCTCTTTTGTTTTTCATTTATTCAATTTTTTCTTTTTGTTTATTTTCGTTTGTGTGTGTGGGTGTGGGTGTGGATGTGTGTCTGTCTTAAATTTCTTTTATTTACTGTAAATCTTTCTTCTCATCGCCTCTCTTTTTTTGCTCTTCTTTTTTCTCACTCCCTCCCTCTCTCTCTCTCTCTCTATCTTCGCTCTCGCTTTTCCTCTCAAATCATTGACATATTTCTTTCTCTCTCTCCCTCTCTCATTAATTCTCACTACCTTCACTACCTTACCCCTGTGCCGATGACACCGGAATGCTGCCATAGTTATAATAATAGCACCGGGTTTGTTCGCATATAAAATCTTTAACGGCTGAACAATCTTCGGGTGCCCATCGTAAACTTGGCGCTTGTAGCATAACACAACCTTTTTCTAAACCGCTGCTACTGTTCAATTCGACGATGCAAATCCATGAATTTGATTAAGCCAAGTGGTGGTGTTGGTGTTGATGATTTGATTGGATGAACGGTGTGTTTGTTGATGATCCGAGTCCAGTCCAGCGAGCGCGAACGTCGATTACGTCAAATGATTGAATAAAAATAAGGAAGAAACACAAATTCAATTAAATAACCAGAATAATAAAAATGCCAGCGACTCATTCACTAAAGAGTCTTCAGTAAAGACTCTTATCTAACTTTCAATCAAAGTCTTTGATTATGACATCGAATTAAAATCGATAATCCCTGCTTGTAATTACTAATCAAAACGAATGTAAAAAATGAAGAAAAATAGGAATAAAATCTAAATTAAAAACCGGAAAATAATAACCAGAAAATAAATTCTAATCATTTTCTTCATCATTTTGTGTTTTTCCTATAAATTTGTTATCTTCTTTCACAAAATGCGCGTATTTTTTTTTCTATATAAGTGCAAGTCCATCGCACGGAAATCAGAAATGGTTCAATAAAATAAACCCATACGAATGGTTATGGACTTATTAGTTGTATTGGATCGTGTTTTCTTAGCTTATATGGCGCTTTTATTACAATAATAATGCGCTTACTTTACGGTTTTTTTTACAGGCAATTTTTTTCTATTCAAAGCTAATTATTGGTTTACCTGTCGCGAGCGGTGCGTTGTGGTGCTGTGTTGCTATTATGATCGACCGGATCGAGTAAGCCAGCTTTAACGGCATCATTTGCATTATCGAAATAATCGAATGTTGCATTGAATGGCAAACCAGTACTCATCCATAGGAACATGCCAGTGCCAAGACGATTGCCCGATGTCCAGAAATCATATTTACTGTAGCCGGCATTTTGTAAATATTGGCTCATCGATTCGACCTTTTCTTTTGTTTCAAATGATGCCAATTGCAAGCCCAACGATCGACAATACTGATATGCCAAGAAGTAATTCAATTCCGGCGAATATGGATTCATTCGACTCACAAAATACTGTACACCTTCCAATTGAATGGTTGTGATTCGTTGACCTTTTGGAGAACCAGAATAAAAAGAAAATTGCACAAAAATTTAATCATCAAAATAAAATGGTAAAATGTGATTATAATGTAAAGTTTTGTGTGAATATAATGAGTATATTGAATAATCCCGAAAAAATGTTCTAAAATGCGGGTTGAACCCAGAATTTACAAAAAAAAAACACATTTAGTTCTAATTAGCATGTTCAGATAATTCTATAAATGACTTCATAATCTCAAAGTGAATAACTGTTTTGGTTAAAAACTTAACGTTGAAAACACTTTGAATGACGACGTTTTTCGAATGACAAGCACTTTGGACAAAAGAGAATGTAAGTTGCGGGCGCTAATTTGCATTAACTGCATCGAATAAGCTGTGATTAGATGGTGAAATAAATCAATAATAAGTACAATATGGATGTGAACTCCGTTATGTCGGAAAAGGACACTGACCGAAGGTCAATACCCTTTTGGCAATTGTCGAAATGATATGTGGCAATGTCGCACTATACAATAAAATTTCGTTTGTCATATTCTCTAACAAAATTCACTGCGAATTTTGCTGAACACAGCCGGTCACAGCAGGCACGATCGTGCCACTCGAGTAATTCGTCACTATCATATCATATAGAATGAAACGTTTTCACGTATTCTAAGGTCTGAAGAAAAATCGCAAGCGATTTTACTGCAATAAACATGTAAAAAAGATCAATATGTTAAATGACTCATAGAGGACAGTTATAGTGGGAGTCTCTATCATCATTTATTTCGAATCAATTACTGATTAGAACACAGACTGAAATTCATTTCTCATTTTAATGAATTACACAATTTCAACCAAATTCACTACATTTTTTGTAGGAATAATAACGGAGAATATTTAAATAGCAAATATTAGTTCATTTGTTAATAGATAGCAACAGAGAAATAGATTATCCTTAGGAATTCATTCCATTTCTACCTGACAAGTTCTTGGTTTCAGAAATAGTGTTGCACTTCTTAAAACAGAGATCATGATCAATAATAAGCTAATGCATGAGTTTGAGAAGAGCCTCGGAAAAACTGTCAACTTTTTTGACCCTTTATTTCACTTTAAAATCCTATCATTCTTATTGAATAACCCTGTGCTGTGCGTTAAAGTTAAGAGTTCATGTTTTCGTTAACAATTTAGAACGTCTCTATGCTATTTTCGCGTATATTTTCTCATCGTATTGATCTAGTGCTGAACCAGCACTGTTGGTGCTAGCAAAAAATCTGTTCGATTCACTTTAAGTGAATCACTTGCAATGAGTGAAAAAAAATTGCCAGCTAAAAAAGTCGATTTCTTACACAGAGAAAAGAATTTAATCTGTGGTTGGCGTGCGTGCATGAGTACGCGCACTCGTTCTTTTGCTCGCAAGAGACTTAGAATATGCAACATGCACAGAAAACTCTACTAACCCCGAATCATGTGCGACGAGAACTCTGTGTTTGCGAGAGACAGAGAGAGAGAGAGAGATCATGTAGCCCGATGTATTCAATAGTTCATCGTAATTACCGATCCCTAATTGAATGCACACACAAATATCCACGGTCTATAAATTCATCGTAGTCGTTCGTTCGTTTCTGTGTCGCAATGTGTTCTCAACATTTTGAGTCTTATTCTTTTGGTGTGTGTCTTAGGTTCGGTTCTTTGTCCTGAAAGATGTATCTCTTGCTCTCGCTCGCTGTCTGTGTATTCAATGGCCAATTAGCGTTTTGTATAAACGATTCAGCGTAAGCGCACACACAACAACAATGAGGCAGAAAGTGAGGCGCACAAAATGCCAAACATACGCACAATTTAATGTGCATTTTTGTGTAAATATGCAAAGAGATCATCTGCCTGCTGCAATTATTACATATTGTTGTTGTTGTTGTTGTTCAATTGGTTTCTCGTCAAGCTGTTATTGTGTTGGCTGTGTGCCTTACAAAAGGCTCTCATCGTTCGACATCGAAAGGGAAAATATGGAGATCGAGCGAAAAGAAGCACACACACACACATACACCCAGCGCAAAATGACGGGCAAAAGCAAACAGAACGAACACAAAGCAGGCCGTGAGTGAAAGAGACGGCAAACCAAATCTCAGCAATGAAGTGGAATGAAGCGATGAAAAGATTTAGTATAAAAGTCGAAGAACATTGATAACCATGTTAATAATGTGAAAAAAGAAAGAATGAAAATAAAAACGAATTGCTGCTGCCGAGGCTGCAAAGGAAGAGGAAATGTGCATACAACAAACGACCAACGAACACAAGAGCGAAGTGAGTAGAAAATGAAAACACACGATGCGAACGCACAACAAAATGTGAAGTGCGTAAAGAAAAAAAACACAGGCAATTATTTTGTATTTTGTCGTTACTGTTGCATTTTATCAGCCGGGCTCGGCTGTTTCGTGCCCGTGTGTGTGTGTGTGTGTGTGTGTGTGTGTTTGTGTATGGGTCTGTTGTGGTGTGCCGTTGTTACTGGGCTCTCTTCGCGCAATGGTTCAGGCGGCTGCTGCATTTGGTGAATGTTTTGTGTGTGTACACATATTTGTGTGCAGCGATTTCTTTGTTTGCCCAAGCGCTAAAAATCTATTTTTATCTGTCTACGGCCGCCACATCGAAATGTGAGATATATACATATTTGTTGCACGCTCTTCTTCTTTTTCTTCTGCTGCTGCTTTTTTGTCTCTTCTGCTACTCTCTCTCCTACTTGTTCGTTGCATTTGTTTGCCGAAAGGGTTTTCCTTTCCTTTGGCGTTTCGTATTTACTTCTTGCTCGCTATCCATTCGCCTTTTATCCAGCAATTTTACTTTTGTAAAATACACAATTTTTTGCGCTGCCATCGCCGTCACTACTGCTGCCGCTGCTGCAGCACGAAGCTTCAATACTACGTCTCTCTCTCTCTCTCTCTCTCTCTCTCTCTCTCTATCTGCTTCATTTTAACTTTATTTCCTTTTTTTACTCTCAGCTTTTATTTGATCTAGAGGAGATGAATTGCAATGTCGGATGGTTTATTGTGGTCGCAATTACTCGCCTCAACTCTTGTCGTATGAGTGTGTGTGTGTGTGCCGCAATTTTAAATTGCAACCAAGTGAAATAGTCTCGAAGAGAGTTCAGCACCAGTGAGAGCGGAATATAAATAGAAATGAGGGAAAAAAAAGCTAAAACCTAAACACAATCACATGCCATATCATTTCGCAAGGACTTTGATGTAAGCTCGATTTTAATTATATCAAGCAGAAGCCGAAAGCAAGAGCGAGCTAGCGAGCGAGTGACAGAGAGAGAGTAAGAGAGGGGGAGAGAGAGAACGAAGAGAGATTTAGTTTCATCGTTTTGCCTACAAATTCGCGTTCGTTTGCTTATTCGCTTTGGCCGTTAACCGTTTTGTTGGTCGTGCACGTTGGCACAACTGAAGAATGCATGCGGCCATCGTCATCATCATCCACACAGAGCCAACACAAACCGGGGCAGAGAGAGGATGAAGCATGTGTGTTTGTCTATGCAAGAGATGGCCACTCTAGGGCTAAAAACAAGAAGAAAACAAGAAGAAAACAAGAACCATCTCGAAGTACGAACAAACGAACGAAAAAAAATTACTACGTTGAAGAAGATTAAAATTTATTGCATTCGCGAAATGGATAAAAAGAAACCGAACCAGACGCAGCCAACCAAATTAAACTATTCCAAGGATTTTTCCGACTATTTTGCCATCTCTTGATCCAGAATTGTTGGTAAAAGTACTGTCAATGCGGCCGCTGCCACCGCCGCCGCCTCTCGGCTTCATTGTGTGTTTGTGTTGTGTCTTCGTTCGCTATCATCATCTGGCGTCTGTGGAATCCGTTTGTCCAAATCATCGCATCGATTTTTCTTCGTACGTATTGAGTTGGTTTCTCACGTTTGACCACCATTGCATGATAGCCATCCAAACAGATGAATCTTAACGATTCGCGTTGCGTGTTTTCTCTGTTTTTTTTCTGCATGGTGTGAGAGGTCAAGAGAGAGAGACAGAAAGGGTAAGAGTGTGTTTTCGAGAGAGCAAGACCAGTCAAAATACGACCAGAGATATAGACTAGAAAATTACTTGGCACAAAGAGTCTAATTTGGCGAGACAACGAAATCAAATCACACACACACAGCAAAAGAGATCTTTCAACTGATCTCTCACTCTCTCTCTCTCTCTCACTCTGTCTCGGTTGCGTTGATGAAAATCGCTGTCGAGCGCGCATTTTTATCGATTCATTTGGTGAGTGGTGCGTTCATTGCGTGCAATGCAAAACTTCACTCGCTCATCGTCAGCCACCAATAAAGACCACCAAATTATCATTCGACGACTCAAAAAGAAGAACAAAGCGAAAAAAAAACACACGAATGAGGTAATTACACAATAAACATTTACACTTTGCAGAATGAATAGAGAACGAGCTCATCGTTGTCGGTGTTTTTTTTTCTTCTCTCTCTCTCTCTCTCTCTCTCTCTCTCTCTGTTTTTTTCACTCAATGTTCGCTTCTTTCACATTTTAGAGCTCGATGGCGGGCCGACTATGCGTTCAACACATGAGCTTCAAGAATATAAACACAAAAGCACATACCAGCTAAAGATAACACTTTGAAACGAACAAAAAATAACAACACACACAGTTCAAGTAGAAAAAGTGTCAGTGTGAAACAGAAAGGAAGATAGAGCGACTAAGAATGTGCTTGGGTTATTGTGTATGCGCGTAATTTAATTTACGAGTCATTGAACTTACTTGCGATGGATGGGTGTAAAAAAAAGGGAAAAACGCGCAGCAATCGCATTGTACTTTTTTTTCTGCTTCGGCTTGTCTCTGGCAAGACAAAAGACGCACCAATTTGAATTTTTATTTCTTTCGATAGTTTTTAAATGCCAGTGAAGTCAAATCATCACACATGGAATTCGAAAGAAGAAAAAAAGGAAAACAAAATTTCGGTGTTTTTTTTACAACTGTACACTATTGCAAAAGCAAGCAAACCAATTGATAACTGG